TTGGACGGGGCCCGGGTTATCAAGGCTCAAAATGGCAAGGACTTCTCATTGGGCAGAATCTGCTTACTCACCTTGGTAGGTGCTTGCCACTCAGCTGGTAACTGTATCGGCGGCCGAAGCGGGCGCTCCGCGTTCGAGATAAATTCGTCAATCAAGTTCTCGAATTCATTCCCCTTGCCTTTTGAGCTGAGCTGTTTGCTAGAGTGACTAAGAGGATGACCCACCGATAGACCTAGACTCGAATGGATGCCGGGGGAGCATAGCATAGACGGGAAAGGGAGCCCGGACAGTGGAAGAGCCCGGGGAGGTCGGGTCACCTGCACTGGGCCTACCTCCATTCCTAGAGGAGTGCTGCTTCGTCTGTTTTATGACTAACCGTTGAACTAAGGAATGAGAAATATAAACGTTATCATACAACCTTTAATCACGCCTGTCTATGAGAGATTTCATATATAGTTTCTTTTGTGAATAACAAACTTTAACTTTAATGTCGTGTAAGTTTGTTTAACACGGAAATCTCTCCCTTTCGTGTTTTTGTTCTCTGTACCAATTTCATTATTGTTGTTATTTGTTCTAAGGAAAGAAAAAAAAGCACTTACATTATTATTGTTATTTCTCATTTGAGAAAAGAAGAGCAATCAACATATTATATATCCATCATAATCACATATTTTCTTTGTCATATTTGTTAAACACTACAATATTAATAGATAAAATTAAGTTTGTTTGGTTACAGTTTCGTCCTCGACGCGGTCTTTTATCGCATCGGAATGAGCCCTTGACATTTCAAGTGCAACTTTTGAAAGTACTGTATGAGTTTTATCCTCTGTCAATATTGCTTTCAAATTGTAATAGTCACCATTCTGTTCCATCAATACTTGTATATTCAATATTGATAGCTTCCATTTATCTTTCTTAGCGCTTTAAGGGCATGTTAGTAATTAAGCTGAGAAATTTGTTATTACGAGTTGATTATAAATAGAGTGAATGAAAAGGAAGGCAGGCAGGCAATATTCATCCTAGTTTAGGTTTGAGTGATCCCAAAAGGGAAGGGTCCAAATTACATCGAATTGCATGAGAATTATTGTAGTCGTCCGCCTGTCCTTTCATCTTTCAATCAACTTCAGCCTATAATTATATCAATTCGTGTTAAAGTAGTTTGATACTATCTTGCATAGAATTTTACCATAATACGACGAAAAAAAAAGGAAATATAAATAATTGGATTAGATCACAATTAGTAATATTTATATTTATATACATAAATTACATCACTCAATTATTCTGTGAGCAAATAGCTTGAACTGCTAGTGATGCAGATAAATTGGTAGCATCGCCTAATCCAAATGACCTTGCAGATACATCAATTGAACAATTCTCCCTGCCAATGCAAGCCTTTTCAACCAAAATATCGCTGTTTGTCACATCCCATGAACCTTTCTTAAACGAACCACATTTTCCCGTTGGATTTCCATAGCTAGCAAATTGGACATCCGAGATGATACGCCCTCCTTGACACGACAACTCTAAGGTGCTTCCTTCATTAGCATTTCCACAAACAGTACCTATAGTGATGGTTTGAACTGACACTTGCTGGGGATTCCCACCAATCTCTTCAAATAAAATCAACGTGTTTGTGTCACCGGAAAGAAATGATCTTGGGACGTGATACCATCTTTGAGAAGGATTCCCGCAATTACTAACACATTTTTTAGGATCATATGGACCTCTGTAGTCACACGTATCACTGCAACTATCGTTGCCAGCCATGAAAGAAGGCCAAAATCGACCTATGCTTCGCCCATTTACCCAAGCTTGGCCTTTTCCCATACCTTGCATGTCCAAGGCTACTGGGTCAGTTCCTGGAGGGGTCTTAAAGTTAGTTTTGAACCATGTCATTCGCCTTCCAATCGATTTTTGATTTAATTCGCTCCACTTTGCTCTTTGAGTGATCGTCGGATCATAAAATTTCTTCATTTCTCCATTTAATCCAACTTTATAAGACCACAAATTTGATGACAAGTCAACTGTGACATTTCCATCTCCAATTAGATATATAGGACCTCCATCAATTCCCGTCGGCACCGTGTCATAGAATGCATCGTAATTCTTGAGTCCAACTGTGGCACTCAAAAGGGTTATGGTGTTGGTTCCTGATTTTAGTAGAATAGGTTTCTCCAACGTAAAATTTTGTCCGTTGGTTTTCCATTGTGACCCAATGTACCTTTTATTTACAAAAGCATGGAGCACATGACCTTTTGTACTCACTTGGAGAGTCACGTTGTGAAGAGAAGATATTGCATTGGTATCAACATTCGTCATGTACCATAAGTAGTCGCTGAAATCAACGGTAGTTCCTTTTTGTTCTAATAGAAGGTTCGCTTGAAATCTGCCCTTTCCTTGTAGGGTGTCCCTCATGGGTTCTGGAGCCCAAGACCACGAGAGTTGTGCATTTTCATGCGCATTTTGCTCCTTCACAAATATAGATGTTTGAGAATTAACCTTTGCAGTGTTATAAACCTCCTTGTTGCAACCATCAAGAATGCTCACAGACCAAGCTGGCACAACGTATTTTCCATCTGCTTTCAAATCTATGGTGGCATCGTTGCTCTTATCTGTGTTGCTCAAGAAGCAGAACCTCTCCCCCGTTGCTTGGTTAGAGAATTTGGTCAAAGTAACAAAGCCACTAAAGTTTTCGTTCGAGCGGGTGCCATTGGTGAGAAGCTTCTCTCTTAATTTGATTGAAGCATGGAGTTGTTTGAGATGCCCCCATTTCGGTTGATTCAAGTTCCCATATTCGTCAAGTGGTGCATCGTAATCATAAGAGGTTGTGATGAATGGACCTCCAGATGTTCTCCCAAAGTTGGTGCCTCCATGATACATGTAATAGTTGTTAAATACGCCACCAAATTGAAAAAATTTTGCCACGGAAAATGCTACGTCTTCTGCAGTTCTGTGAGGGTCTTTATCGCCCCATTTCTTGAACCATCCCACCCAATTCTCAGTAAACATTTTTGGGCTTTTAGGATTGTTGGGAGTAAAGTTGTCGCAATACCATCCGTTGCATGTATTAATCATGGGTTTGGGGGCATCACTCTGTTGGCACATGATCCATGGAACACCAATATTAAGAGATTCGGCCATTTGAGCACACCAATTGATGTATGTTTTTCCCGCATTTCCATAAGGTGTCATCACGTTTCCATACTCATTCTCGATTTGAGCTAAGATTATTGGCCCTCCTTGTGATGCAAAGAGGTTGGCTTGTTGACACATATTCACTATCTTTGTAGTGAAAGTTTGCATTTCATTCTTGTAGACTTGATTGTCAGTTCGTAGTTGGATTCCCGGCAGATTGTGCAACCACACCGGAAAGCCTCCATAGTTCCACTCGGCACACACGTAGGGACCAATCCTCATGACAACGTAAAGTCCGGCATCTTGGACAAGCTTGAAGAATTTGACGAAATCTAGATTTCCAGAGAAATCATACGTTCGTCTTTGAGGTTCATGACGATCCCAAAATATATATGTCTCGATTGCGTCAAGCCCACCATCCTTAGCTTTTTGAATAAGATCAGGCCACATCTCTGCCGTGCTTCGTGGATAATGAATCGAACCTGAGAAGATAATGCGTCGTTCACCATTGATAATTATGGCATTGGAATCGTAGGAGACATTTGCTCCCATACAAAGTGATAAGGAAGCTGAAGTTGCAAGAAATAGAAGTAGAGGCCATTGAAGCTTAAACATCTTTTAAATCTACAAAAAAGATGTAGATGTTTTGGCTTAATTATTTCTCTGAATTTTTGTGCTTATATAGGGAAACTTGGTGATCAGGTGGGAGTTGTTTCCAATCTATTTTTGTATGTTGGTTTGTTCATAGATTCTAAACATAGAAAATTCGTTAATGAATTCTCCCAACAAAGCAAATTTATCCATATGAGCTGAAGTATTCTAAACATAGAAAATTTGCTCCATTTGGAGGATAGTATTTAGTTTTATCGCGAGCCGAACTTATTGTCAAATTTAAAACATATATCTAAGAAAAGAAAAAAAGAAATCCAACTAGATTTTTTCTTTCAATTTTTTGTTCTTTTTGAGTTCACCAATGGGTGTTAGTGTATTTTTACTACAATTTATAAAGGCGGGACCAGAATTCGAACTCACAAAGTTTTTATTGGATCTAGATGTCTTAACGTGCTAAGCTGGGTTCGGAATTCAAACCCACAAAATTCTTATTGGACCTAAATGTCTTAACTTGCTAAGCTATATTCAATATTCAGATTGAGAAGAGGAGACTGTACTTTATTTGATTGCTTAATTTTATATTTGAAACATCAAGATGAATGGATAATAACAAAGTTAGTAATTTGTTTGGTGAAATGGCTATCTTTGATTACTTTCTCTTTCTGTGGGGCTTTACAAATCAATGAATTTTCATGGGTATTAAGAATGTTGGTTGTTTGATCAAAAAATCGATCAAGCTCGGAATCTACGTAGATCGAATCGTACGGGATGATCTTCCTTGTCCACCGAAGAACATGCAAAACAAAGTTATCACTCCGACGATCAAGTTAATCTCTATCCGGTCTAACTTTCTAAATGCAAATGGATTTTGTACCTTGCATAAAGGGCAGGTATCCCTATTTATAGGGATGAAATCCGACAAGAGTCCCGACGTTGGACTAACGGTCATCAGACTGTACGTAAAACGCTTCTATAGACATGCTGATTCAGGTCGGCTCTGACTATTAAGGTTGGCATAATGACAAACAATGGCCAGCTCAACTCAGCCTACGGAACTCGACCTGAACAAATTTGCACAAATTATCATAGTTATATCTTTCAACTAAAATACGTTTACGATGTTGACACATGGCAGGCGATAATCAACCCCCAACCTTGGTCCAACAAAAATTCAATTTGACATAATTTTAATGTGTAAACAACTAAAATTTTACAAGTTGATTGGTTAAAATACAAAAAAAAAAAAATTCTCAACTTTATATTATGATTATTCAAATACAAAGATGATTTCTGTACACTAGTTTATTACTAGTGCATTGCACCGTACTATGTATATTTTTAATTTGATTTGATTTTATAGTAACACGAAATAAAGGGGTAAAGGAACAAAAAATACCACTAATTATTTAAGAAAAACACTTAAAAGTTATTCATCACATTCAAGTAAGAGAGGAAATAAAGAAAGAAGAATGAAAAGTACAAAAATTAAGTTGAACCTGGTGGGAGATAAAAGGATTTGTGAGGGGGGATAGGGGTTTTTAAAAACGATTGTCGAATCTAACTCAAACCGTAAGGGTTGGGTTGGGTTACGTATGGTTGTGATTTCTCCAACTCGATCGGATTGGGTTGGGTTTTAGGTTCAACTATTAAAAAATCGGATCAACCCAATCCAACTCGAATTTAGGCATACATGTGTATTTTTTTAATTTTTTATAATAATAATAATATTTTTATCTTCAATGTCAACCGTCCATTTAGTTTTCATCCTAATATTTCATTTAAGGTTCTCATATTATCTTATCTTAATCTCGATTGTCTATTTAGTTTTAATCCTAATTCTCTATCGTCGCCATGATAATTAAAAATTAAGAATTAAAAAAAAAAACACAACCCGACCCAACTCGAAGATATTGGGTTGGGTTGAGTTGACCATTCAATTGAGACCAACGGTTCTTATATATGGTCAACCCGAAAATTTGGGTTGGACCCAACCCACCCCGTGAACATCCCTAGGAGGGATGTGTGTTTTAGGTTTTTTGCTTACAGGAAAAAAAAAGAAATAAAACGATATCATTTTCCATGTTATGAACACGATGACAGTTATAAGTTGTCATCGTTTCTATTACTTTTAATGATACCTATAAACTACATCTTTTTAGTTATTTTCGAAAAATCCCATCAAAGCAGGCATGGTTTTTATCAATTTATTTATTTATTATTATTTTTTATAACCGCCATCCTTTGAGGTCAAATGTCATCAAATGACAAATTTGTTTTAGTGAACAGTAATAAACAAGAAGTTTAGGAAAAACATTAAAAAACAGTCGGGAAAAGTCCACTTTTTCCGACGTTATTGAAAACATTGGTGAATTAAAATTTTCCATCATTTAGAAAGCATGGAAAGGTTAAATTAATCCCGACATTTGTTGACTAATCTTTTCATAATTAGTGGCATTAATTAACATTTTACCATAATCATTTTTTCTTTTGTCATATTTGCTTAACACACTCGACAAATTTAAGTTTGTTTGGTCGCAGTTTGGTCCTCCACCTTGCATAGTCCTTGATATTTGAGGGGCAACTTTTGAAAGTAGTGTAAGTTTAATCCTCTGTCAATATTGGTTTCAAATTGTAATACCAACTATTCTATTCAATCAAATACTTGTATATTCAATATTCAGAGCTTCAATTTATCTTCTTTTTATTTTTATTTTTATTTATTTATTGTAGTGCAATACACTGGGTTGTCTAACATGACATTTTTCTTTGGGATATATGCAAATTGCACCATTTAAGTTCAAATCATGCCGCTAATATTTTCTCACTAATTTCAAAAGCCTTATTGGTTTCCTTGTACTTATTCAACCTTTACGTACCGTTTGTTTTTCGGGAATGTAGATGATCGACATCTAGAGATATCCGGAATTTCAGATGTCCGGAATGTTAGATGTCAGACATCTCCACGTTTGTTTCGTAGGAATATTTTAAAAAATATTCGGGAATATTTCGATAGCCATGTTTGTTTTACATGATTTATTCTTATGAATGTGTTAAATTTATAAAATGTTCCAAAAATGTCCTCACAAATATTTATATAATTTTTAAATTCATTTAATATAATATATTTATTTGAGTTAATTTAATATTTTTATTTTTTACATGTTATTTTGTAGAACAAGTTAATTCATTATTAATTTAATATAAGTTTCATTTTCAACTTTAATAGTTTTCCAAAAATACAATTATATAATTTATGTTATCTTGGATAAAATTTATTTATCCTATCATTACATTGTATTTTTTTAAGAGGAAAAATATCACGGGTATGTTGGTCGTAAAAACAAAACTTTGGCAGTCAAGGGTTATGATGTTGGTTCCTGATTTTAGGAGAATAGGTTTCTCGAATACAAAACTTTGGCCGTTGGTTTCCCATTGTGACCCAATGTACCTTTTATTTACAAAACAATGGAGCACATGACCCTTTGTATTCACTTGGAGAGTCACATTGTGAAGAGAGGATATTGCATTGGTATCAACATTCGTCATGTACCATAAGTAGTCGCTGAAATCGACGGTGGTTCCTTTTTGTTCTAATAGAAGGTTCGCTTGAAATCTACTCTTTCCTTGTAGAGTGTCCCTCATGGGTTTGGTGCCCAAGACAAAGAAAGTTGTGCATTTTCCTGCACATTTTGCTCCTTCACAAATATAGATGTTTGAGAATTAACCTAATGTGAAGTGTTGTAAACCTCCTTTGTTGCAACTGTCAAGAATGCTCACAGACCAAGCTAGCACAACATATTTTCCGTCTGCTTGCAAATCTACGGTGACATCATTGCTCTTATTTGTGTTACTCAAGAAGCAGAACCTCTTACCCGTTGCTTGGTTAGAGAATTTGGTCAAAGTAACATAGCCAATAAAGTTTTCGTTTGAGCACGTGCCATTGGTGAGACACTTCTCTCCTAATTTGATTGATGCATGGAGTTGTTTGAGATGCCCCCATTTCTGTTGATTCAAATTCCCATATTCGTCAAGTGGTGCATCGTAATCATAGGTAGTGATGAATGAACCTCCAGATGTTCTGCCGAAGTTGGTTCCTCCATGATACATGTAATAGTTGTTAAATACGTCATCGGATTGAAAAAATTTTGCCACGAAAATGCTACATATTCTGCAGTTTTATGAGGGTCTTTATTTCCCCATTTCTGGAACCATCCCACCCAATTTTCAGTAAACATTTTTGGGCTTTTAGGATTGTTGAGAGTAAAGTTGTCACAATACCATCCATGTATTAACCATAGGTTTTGGGGCATCACTCTATTGGCACATGATCCATGGAACGCCAATATTAAGAGATTTGATCATTTGAGCACACCAATTGATGTATGTTTTTCCTGCATTTCCATAAGTGTCATCACGTTTCCATACTCATTCTCGATTTGAGCTAAGATTATTAGCCCTCCTAGGGATGCAAAGAGGTTGGTTTGTTGACACATATTCACCATCCTTGTTGTGAAAGTTTGCATTTCATTTTTGTAGACTTGATTGTCAGTTCGTAGTTGGATTCCCTACAGATTGTGCAACCACAACAGAAAACCACCATAGTTCCACTTGACACACACGTAGGGACCAATCCTCATGACAACGTAAAGTCCCACATCTTAATCAAACTATACTTGGAAACTTCTCTTTTATTCAATTTACTGATCAATTTTTATGGCTCATGACAGAATGAATTATCTTGGAAAAGATTTTAGGGTAGATGACGACAAATTAGCAATGAATCATTTTGTCATTTTCTAAGTTATTATATGCAAGTGAATCCAATTGAAAACAACTAAAAATTTACAAATAGGGAGAAAACGATCGGGGAAGGTGGGGGAAGAGAGAGAAAGAGGAGAGGAAATTACTGAATAAAAAAAATCTACATAAATAAAAATAATATAAAATTTATAAAATATCTAATTCACCGTTGCCACGTCAACATCCGTTAGTTCGTTAATAGAAGTTTAACTTTAGTTTAGACCTATTTTCTAAAAATGGAGAATCAAACTGTAACTTCTTGAAATTTAAGAATCAAATTAAAACTTATTCTCAAGGTCAGAGTGTACTTTACCCTTTTTTAAATTTAGATTCAATTTCTTAATTTATTAAAATAAACATTCTTTATTCAACACTCGCTAGTAAGCAGAAACAATTTCATATATTTGATTTTGGGGCAAGGGTGTTTTTGTAAATTTCACAAAAATTAAGTTGGTTTTATTATTATTATTATTATTTTGGATTAAGTCAAATTTTCCTAACATTCTGACCACTGTAGCTGTGATCAAATTGGGTTGTTGCTGTTTCCCTTCATCTCTAAGGCTTCTTGCTACACTATTTTGAATTTTCTTCGACAAAACAACCAAAAATCATTTGTTTCCATTGGAATATTGATTCCACAACCCAATTTACGCTTCAATTTTTCTCCACTGTTTCAGCTTCGATTTGGAAGGGCTGAAAGCGATGCAGAAAATGGCGCAGGGATGGTTCACACAGGGCGGAGGTAGTGGGAGTGATAATCAGCTCAAAACTTCCTCTTCGCTGCTGGCCGATTGGAACTCCTACGCCGCGGAATCACAAGCTGCTGAGGATAGCACCTCCAGTTTGGGAATTGGATTCGATCTCGAAAGTGCTGTTAGGTCCGCTAATGATACCGTTTCAGGAACTTTCAGCGTGTAAGTCTCTGATCCCGAATCCATCTTATCAGAGAATGTCGAATTTCATTTGTGTGTATGTTTTCTGGGTTGTTGGGGTTTGTGATTCTGGATCCTTGGGTACTCGAGTTTATGAGTAATATTCTGTTGAGTGCATTCGTCCATGGCGCTTGGGGTTTATTTCTTTAGTTTTTGGTAATTTTACTGTAGTCTTGCTATTTGCCTGTTTGAGGTTATGAAATGACATGATTTGATTTGCTGGCTACGAGGAAGTGTGGGAAATGTTATACCATAGACCCTTCTTCCAAAACCTTCGTTTTTGTAATTTTGATTTGTTTTGTATTGTGGTTTCAATGATTGAGGATTTCATTTAAGAATGATTGAGGATTTCGTTTGAGAATTATAAGTTAACAAGGGATCTGAAGAAACAAAGAATACCATTGTCATTAGAGGTTGCCAAACAGCATGAAAAGAAATTCTCCATGGTCCAGGGAGAATGTGGTTTGCCCAAGTTTGAAGATCTTAATTTCGATGTCATTGGACTGCCGTTCTTTCTCATCCCTGTTATTTGAGTTTTGAGATGAAAGTGGGGTTCAATCTTTTTGAAGGTTTCCATATGGGAAAGAAGGAAGTACAGCCAACTGGCTAATAAGTAATACATCTACAGTTTACAGATGGTGCCACCTTCAAAATCCTTGGATTAAATCAACCTTGAGAATGAAAATGAATTTGTCTTAGAGCGTCATAGTAAGTATTAACTTCTTAAGGGGCTGAAAGCGAGCACTGCACGTGTTAGGGCTGTGCAGTTTCTCAAGCTTCTTGGAGATTTCACCATTCTTCAGGCACATCTTGAGAGTTTGGTGTTTCCTCCAAAATGACTACTTTCGAGTTTAAGGATATTACTCTTCGTGATGCCTCTTCTTTTTCCTGGTATTCCTACTAAAAATTTTCATAAAACCATTTGAGGGAAATTTGTCAAGCCATTTCTCTCACAAGGCCTAGGGAGGATATCTAGCAGGACCAGGTCCATTTTAAAAATTTTACAACTATTCATGTCATTCACTTTGTTTAAGATGCCTCATTTCTGATTATTTTGTGATTTGATCTTTGTACAGGGTTTCTAAAGGAGTGAGAGAACTTCCCGGAAACTTCCAGTCTGCCACTAGTAATGTTCCATCAGGAAAAGCCCTGATGTATTTTGGTTTGTTTCTAGCAACTGGGGTTTTCTTTATCTTCATCGCATTTACCATGTTCCTCCCTGTCATGGTTCTGATGCCTCAAAAGTTTGCCATCTGCTTCACCCTTGGATGCAGCTTCATCATTGTCTCCTTCTTTGCCCTCAAGGGTCCAAAGAATCAGCTGGCCCATATGTTCTCAAAAGAGGTCCCCTTGCTAAATGTTTCTTCTATTACATTTCTGATTTCTGCCAACTACCCTCTTGATATTTTATCTCATTCTACTCCGCTATTTGTTCCTTCGTTTCACAATGCAGAGACTTCCTTTTACGGCGATCTTTATCGGTAGCATGTTGGGCACCTTATACGTCTCCATGGGGCTCCACAGCTATGTTCTCTCAGTTATCTTCTCCGTAATACAGGTACCCAAACACAAGACATCATCTTTCTTCATTATTGTACAAAATTTTATTCCCATATTGCAAATCTTTCTACTTCATACTAGTGTGTTTATGATTGCTCTCTTTACCCGTTTCCTAACGTGTCACATACCCGTCTCTTATTTCTTGGTTTCTCTATCATATGCAACACCGATCAGTCCAAATTGAAACGTTGTCATTTCTCTAGGTTCTTGCACTTTCATACTATGCTGTTTCATATTTCCCTGGTGGGTCTACTGGGATGAAGTTTCTGTCATCCGCTCTAACGTCTTCAGTAATGAAGTGTTTCGGTAGGTGATCTCGACCCCGGTGTGGCTTACAGTAGGTGCACTGCACATTTCTCTCCTGATTAGAGATCTATGTTAATGTGCTTTAATTTTGGAAATGTTTCTGGTTGCTTGTTCCCTTCCCCATCATCATCCATATTGACTGAGCAATTCTGCTGGTGTAGAGAGGGATAAATTAACAAAGTTGTGAAGGCTTTGGCATTAATTTTTGTTGTTATATTCTGGCATCACAATCTGAGGCAATAGAAAATTAAATTAAATTACTTCATCCAGCCTACATGATTATAGAAAAAGTTCAACACTGAATTAAAATATAGTTTTCGATTTTTTTTTTAAGTTTTTCAAGGTTTAATAAGTTTCAATTTCATCTCTAATGAAAAGTGACATGATTCGTTTTCATGTTTTCTTTTCATCTTTTAATTCCTGTCAAAATGATTGAATATGATTTTATCTTATTCTTCGAATATCAAATAATATTTCTATACTCTCGATTTGTCATTTTCATGTCATGAACTATTCATCGCAGGTAAATATTTTTCTCTTCTTGAGTTCAACGAACGTTAGGGTGAGAGAAATTATACATAAATGTTAATCAACAGTAAAGTACATTGTCATTTTTTTGTCAATTTCTGATTTAGATTTTTACTATAATAACTAAATTTTCAACAAAAAGGAAGGTATATTCAGATTTAGTGACTGAAACTATATTTTAGCTCAATATGATAATTACTTTTGATGAATTCTCTAAATGGTTAGAAAGTACTCAAAAAATAAAAAATAAATAAAACAAAATTCATATACCCAAAACATGTGCAGTAAATTTAGTTATAAAAAAAATGTCATTCTTAAAATTATTTGGAAAGAAAATTCTAATTGACAAAGAAGAAGAATTTAAAGACTTGTTTGGGCATTGCTCCAATCAATTTTTAACTGTTTACAACAAAATTGTAGTAAAAATCATGACATTAAATATCGGTCAACATATCGACATTTCTTTTTACATCTTCATGTATATCAACAAAATTTCACTAATATACGTAATATTAATATTAATTCTTTTAAACTTATTTCGAAATGATGACATACTTATTTGTTAATTTAAATGTTTACGATTTTTTAAATAATTTTTTTCAGAAATTTCTATCGAAATTGAAATTTCAACATCTTCATGCAAATGGGATCTCGACATTTTGATCTTGGTAAAAACCTATTTGGGTAACTTTCTTTTTAATGTATTTTTCCTTTTTTTTTAGTATGTCCTTACAAATTACTTCTTGTAGTTTTAAAACAAATTAAATTGTGCTTCATTTTTAAGAAAAAAGTCAAAGTTTATGAATATATTAAACAGTGCGCCATAATACTAACCTTCATTATTCATTTAATCATTCTTATAAGGAGCGATTGAGAATAAGAACATAAAGAGTTTTCCAACCAAGCCTTGATTATATATATGAAATAGTTATTATATTCCAAAATCGACATCCTCGAAATCATAAAGTATATAAAATTTAAATTCAAGATTGACATTACAGGTGTTAAAAATACTTAATGACTCGAAAAATCTGATCGATCCAACTCAATTCAATACGAGGTCTGTGTTGTGTTATAACAAACTCTATTGGTTGGATTGGTTCAAGAATTCATTTAAAATAAATTTGGGTTGAATTGAATCCACTCGAACTTATTATTAATTTCAAAGCATTTCTTTTACTTTCCATAAAATTATTAATTATATATGGATATATTTATTTTAATTTTATTTCATTCAATAATTCTTCATGGACGGGTTATTCTCTAACAACTTTAAAAAATAACATTTTAAGTTTTTGGATTGTAATGTTCTACCATATAAATAAACATTAACTTTTACGGATCTCTATTCAATGTTTAGAAAGTATTTAAAGAAATGATTTAACCTATTACTATATACTTTTTTTTTTATACAATGCTTTGAATGAATGACTCAAATAACCAAACTAACCTAATCCAAATAAAGGTTGTTTAGATCATATAAATTTACAATCCGAACAATTGAGTTGGGTCAAGAAAGTACTTCAACCCAACTCACCGAACTCACGAACACCTTAAATTAACATCGCCTAAGGCACAATTAGGCTCAGTAGGATCCTTAAAAAAATTAAAAATACTATAATTGTGTCTATAATAATGCATTGTCCTCAAGTGCAACAAAAAAGACATAAAAAAGAACAAAAAGAAGCCCCAAATATTAAAAAATATGAAAAAGGCATTTATTTGGTTTCTAAAATTTGACCAATTGGTTCTAAAAAAGATTTTGGCAAGAGCTTCAAGTGGCTTTAGGCAAAGCAAAGGGCTAAAAAAAATAAAATAATAATAAGACAAAGTGCAAAATTTAAAAAATAACCCATTGTCCCACATTACCCCCTCCTCTTCACATTGTAATAACAAAGTGCAATGAACTATTAGGGAGCCTTAGGGGAACAAAGTCCTCATATTAAGGAAAGATTGTGACATAATTACAATTAAATATACTTGGATACTTGACCCTAAAGTCTCAAACTTGGAGCTTATGCCCAAAAAGTTTTTTTTATTAAAAAAAAGATTTAAATCTTATTATGATATCACTTTGATGCTCGTTTTATTTCAGTCCTTAAATTATTAAACAATTTGTTTTAGTTGATCATCCTAAACCTTGACTTCGTTATCAAAAGGACATCAGTGGTAGTCATAATCGGATAAATAGGACGGCATAAATTAGAATGGAATAAGAAATGTACTGGGGTCGGGCAAGGACACTCGCTGGAATCAGCAGCTCGGGTAGTTTCGTCTTTGGATATGACAGTTACGATCTTTTCTCATAGAGCGAATTTGATAGCGGATTTTAAGAGTGTTAATGGGTAAGATTCAATCTCCAAATTCAATGGAGAAAATTTCACTTCTACTTTACTTGTCATGGTAGAGAATAAGACAACTCTGGAGTAAATTATTTCTCTTCCAATCATGGATAGTAGTGCCATAAAAGGCAAGATTTTTCTATTAATTGAGGAGTCTCAAGGATATTGTAACTTTGGGGGAGGTGTTTCGTGGGCATTCTTTGTTCTTTGAACAGACTATTATTGGCTAAGCATATCATTCTTGATCGTTTATTTGTCCTTCGGGATAGCTATTTTCTTTTGTGAATTCTACATGTGGTGCGTAGTCACCACTTTTCTGATGTAATTCTTAATGGTCCTATTTCTTATTAATGCACTTTTTCTTTGATTAAAAAAAACATTCCATTTTAGTCTCTGAACCTTTCATAAAGAACCATTTTGGCATTTTCCGTTAGTTTTTGAATAATTTATTTTACTACTTATATAGTTATATATTTTGTTCACCTGATCAATAGATGAGTCTACAAAGATAAATATTTGACAGCATATATAGTAAATTGGATACTGGGTTTCCAAATAGAGCTAGGATTCTTGTTAAATGATCAATAATAGCAAGGGTAAAAGTAATTTTATATAAAGTTTAGAGACTAAATAGAAGGTTAATCCAAACATAGTTTTTTGATATTCGTGAATATCCGAGTCAGCGCACCTCGACTAATCTCATGGGGTAACCGTCTGACCCTACAATATTTGGTACTGGAAAATATAAACGAATTACTAATTCCTACTATAGGTAGTCATTATGGGATTTGAATTAATCCAAACATAGTTCTATGGATAAAACATTTATTACCATCTCTAAGGCGATGACTCAATCTTCCATTCCTATAATTTTTGAACTAAAAAATATTAAATTAGACCTTTAGAAGATTAAAAGTACTAAAAAAATCGAAAAAAAAAAATCAGAGACTAACATAAAGTAAATATGAAGATTTAGTAACCAAAATTCTGTGGAATCCAATCGGATGTAATCGTAGCTTCGAGTTTAGGTGTCGTACCGCGGCCGGGGCAGTTACAAGGCAATACCACTAGGGAAGCTGATCAAGAAAAGCGCTTTTGCTACTGAGAAAGCAAATGGTCGAGATAAGGGACTACTCGTTAGGTCTTTTCGGTCCGGAGCCGGCCGATAATGGACCTACTTACCTTGCTTTGTGGACCTCCTGCCCCTTTATCGCATCCTATATCACAAAAAAAAGGGTGAAACATTCTATGCGCTTATATTCATCACTGTAGGAATTGGGTTCAAGCTTTCCCCAGTCCCTTTCGAGTTCGACCCCCGCACCACAAAGATCACTGCCCAACCACCGCTCGAGCGAGCACGTAAGAATGCTGACCACTGGTTGGAATCAAAGTTTGTTGGTTTCTTTTCTTTTCTTTTTTTTTTTTTTTAATAATTCTTCATTGATTCCAATATGAAAGCAAAGAAACAAATACAAAAACCAAAGCCAAATTTTTCTAAATAAGTGAAAATTTGTTTATAAAACCAATGTAATGCTCACCACTAAAAAGGGAAAGAAACTCACAAAAGCCTGTTTTTCTGCATTTTGCTTTTGGGATTTAAAAGAATAATACAAAATATATTACTTTTTATTATTTTTTTATTTTTTTTAAGAGTTTTTGAATGATGACTTCTCCAATTATTGATGATTCACCTGTTTCTAATTTATTGTTTCAATTTAAATATCAAAGAAAATTTGATGAATTATTCAAGTCATTGGGAAATGGAAACACCTTCCCACTTTTTTGTTTCTTTATATTATCATATGGGATTTATTTGCCATAACTATTTATAAATTTATTATACTTTCAATTACATAGATGTTTTCTTTTTCTACTTTTCTATTGCTCTGGATTTAATCCTAAAGTTTTCATTAAACATAAAAAAAAAAAAGATTTCTCTTATTAGTGAGAGGAAAAAGAATACAAATTCTTTGAAAGAGGATGGATTAAATAGTTTTGTAGTTATTTTAAAATTTCTACTTAAAAAAAAGTACTTCAAAGATTAGATTTCTAAAAAATTTCCTCTATTATTTTCCATTATTCAATTCTTTTTCAAAATCAGGTTTGACTTGAAATACTAAACATATATTTTTTAAAAAATAAAATCAATACATAGGGTTATAAGTAGAATTAGAATGTCACGTGATCCCTCTCACCTTAAAATACATGTACGGACTTCAGTTTAGACAAGCCGAGGACGAGACAGATCAAAAGCCCAACTCGGCACCAACCCAAAAACAAGATGTCACGAGTGTTGAAATGGTAGGAGGACAACGTTTTTCAAAGCTCCCCTATAAAATGTGGG